ATATATATATATATATATATATATATATATATGACTGGATATATGTATATATATACGTATATAAAAAAAAGGATATGTTACTCAGAAGCTACAGAACTTAGCAAAGTGAATTTTACACATGCCGTTCCGAAAATCCGAAATCAACTTCGAGCCCTGCTTGTGCCGCAAACTTCGATAGGAGGCTCAAAGTCTCGCTCATAAAACACCGAACTCAAAATTTTATAAAAATTCCGATCACTGCACAATGTGTGGCAAATGCTTTGAGCTCAGCTTTAAAACTTCGTTTAGGGACACCTGCAAACGTCGGCAAAATTTGAAGTCTGGATTTGTATTATTGGAATAAGACGCACGTAGAGGGTCTGACTGTAACACAGATAGGGGGGCGAAAGCCCGATTAACGTCCAAACCCGGCGACGTTGTGGCTTGTATACAGCGTCAAAAAATCTTGAGGGCAAAATGAGGAGCTTGATTCTCCCTTACCGTATATTTGTAAGTTTTGTCGCGCGGGGGCTCCAGATGTTCAGGTTCAAATTTAGACTGATCTCACGTTCTCAGAATCATAGGCGGATCCGGCGAGGGAGGGGGAAACGAAAGGTCTTTCGCTCCTTCTTCCCCATCCTCCGTGCCCAGCGGTACCATTATCAGTGCCGCAAAAACCCGGGTCTGTTCATAAATAAAACTTAAGTAACTCTAAGTAGCAGTGTTATAACTCAATTCCTAATTTTTGCATAGTTCAGGGGCCGGAGGGAGCTCACCTCCCCCACCTCTGTGGTCCACCTTCCACCCCCCGTCGTCCTCCTCCCAGGGGACTGTTCTGGATCTGTCTATGCTCAGAATAAGACAAGCAATGTACAACATCCGTTCTAAAGTGTGATGAGCTGCAGCTTCGATCGCAGTAACTATAGCAAGATTATCAATTGCTTCGATGAAACGAAAGTTCATCTGATAAGAAAAGAAAGTAGGATGCAAATTCAGGTCGACTTCTGTGATAATAGTACAACTTCAGGATGAATCAGAACATGAATTTGATATTTTTGCCGTTTTATACTTTCTAGTTGCAATGATTCAGATAGTACAAATGGTCAAATGCAACTTCCATGCATGTATTTGCAAATCCACCTGCTTTTAACATCCTGGCTGCCCTGCGCAAAAGCGCATGATCCAGCCATTTCTCGTTATGTTTGTATCGTATTGCGATTGAAATCCGGTTTTTATGCTTTTCTTGCATATTTATGCGAATGCAGAAACTCATATTGTTAACAGGTTGCCAGTGTGTCTGTGTATGTGTGTTTGTGTAGTCCTGCCGCACTTCGTCTGTGTCATGAAGGGCAGTCATTCCATTCACGTTTTCTACGAAAATGAGTGAAATTTAAGTGATTTTTTTTTGAATTTGTATTAAGTAGACTTTAGAGCGTATAGCAACGAATCTCGCACAGTCATTCCATACATATTATTGCGACCACTGGCGTTGCTGAACGTAGAGAAATTTGTACGCTTTTTTCTGAGAAATTTGAACATCTTCATTTTTCTTAATTTTTTCTTAGAAAATAATTTCTTCATTTTTTAGGCATTTTATAGAAGTTTTTATAATAAATGATCTTTCGATGGAAGCTATTTAGTTATCAGTATCACGTAAGTAACATAAATGCAGGCTTTAGTAAAATAAGCATTAACAACATAATAGTTAGAAAACTGTACTCAGTTGTTATCAAATAAAAATACGAAAATTAATTTTTTTGGTCCTGAAAAACAAAATGGAGTCCGATCCCTCTAGTCCCTCTATCCAGAAAAACCAAGGACTCCCGTGCCTCTGGCTGTGCTCGTGCCTGTGTGTTCAGGGAAGCGATGTGTGTAGAGGGTGCGTTGGGGAAAGAAAGGGTTTCGGAAGAGAACCAGGAACAGAGTTGAAATGCTGGATGACTGCAAAAGTGTAGGATGACCCCAGCCCTAAAATGATTCATCCATCTGTCACTGCTGAGCACTGAGGCGACAAACGTTGCGAGTTCGTTTTGTTGCAGTAAATTTCGCTGTCGTAACGCTTTACGAGCGTTTTCCCGCAATGTCTATTTCAGAATTTTATCTTCATGCGGGTTTTACCTCCGACTTGCTTGTAGCCAGCTTCCCTCATTCAGCGCTAGACGCCCACCGAACTCACGCGTTCCTTCTTCCTCCTGTGTCCTGTCGTGTACAGTTCATTCGCGCATCGTACTTTCTTCCATTTGACCCATCAGTCTTCTTCGTCTTGCGTCAGACAGGCCCCAAGGACTCCTGTTCCTCTGGCTGTGCTCGTGCCTGTGTGACCCACGTGGCACCTACGTGCGGGTCCGCCAAAGTTTTTGGCCGGGAAGCTGCTAACTCGGAAATCAGAAAAGCTATAAAGCTGAAATTTTAAGGGTTTGTTCCCCCTCTATGAGGGTATTAATCAGCTCAAACCCAGCCTCCGGGTGTGCGTGGTTCCTACACACGGGTCAGTAAAAGTTTTTTTTTTTTCGGGCAATTTACTAACTCGCAAACCAGGAAAGCTAGAAAGGTGAAATTTTAAGGGGATGCTTCCTGATAGTCCTGGCAGCCAGTCTCAATTCTTTTAGCTAGAAACATCTGCCAGAAAAAACAATGACGAAAATCTGTGGAGGACTATGCAAAGACGCATCTTCGAACCGGCAGTCGGTGCGCTGGCCATTTATTTTTCGTGTGTTGAGCTCCTGCAGCATTTCCGGTCATTGCTCGTAGTGCGAAATTTGTTATCTGCGAATCTTGAGTGCCATGTTTATTACGAAATGATGTGCATATGGGCGGTGGCATACCCAACTGTCGGTCACTCTAGGTCAGCTGGTTCAACTGGGCAGCTGGATCCAGGATACTGTGTAAATGCAGCAAACTGGCAAGCGGATTCATTGTCATTTGGTCTTGACTGGCAGAAAGCGAGGGAGGAGAAGGAAGCCCATCCAGAAAATGCAGAATGTGCTGCTAATAATAAAATCTGGAAAAAAATGTCAGCGAAGAGCTGGAGTAACAGCAGCTGTTAGCTGCTCCTACTCATACAGGAGATGCTGCTTTCCAGCTGCGAACAATTCCCAGCACATTGTTCCGAGTCGCGCTCACTTATATTTCATCCTTCATATGCTTTGTTTCACCGTGTTGCTGTACTCCAACGCCTTATCCAGAAACAAGTTCATCCGAATTTGGCACTTTGCACCGAAACAGCACCCTTTCTTTCTACCTTTCTTCATCTTAATCGATTCAGTTCAACTGTGTATCTAATTTGCAAGACATATCCGTTTTGCAAATTGGTTACATGGCGGTTATTTCCCAGAATACAGATTTTTTAATTTATCTTTTATCCAATCTCTTTAAAGTTTCCATTTCTAATTATTTAATTTCTTCCAATTTACATCCTTAACATCCTTATCATAAATATCCTTTTCATCTTAATTAATACTTACTCTTAATTATACTCTTAATTATATTGGTACCACAGCCGTCGTACTGACGAGATCCAACTGTGGTATTGGTAAGAAATGTATACGACTTAATGGACCGAAACATTTCTTTACCTAATTTAATACTTCTTTTTCACATCCTTCCTTTTTTTCTGTCATCCTTTCTTATATTTTCCAACAGCATTTACACATTTTTTTTCAACCTTAAATAGGAGGCTGTACTGATGGTTCTCGCTCCTATCCGTACGACTGTGTTTACAGCTAAGGGATGAAACGCAGAGACTGCATCGTAAAATGTCTTCTTACACATGGCACTTAAGTCCAATCCTTCTATTCTACTATTGCATTCGATTGAATTTATCGCTCTCAAATGCTTCACAGCACTTCTCTGTTGCGTTTGCTTCCACACCAGTTTAAACTAGCCTCCCTTTTGTCTTCCATATTCTTACCCTATTCTGATTGACCGTATTTGACATCCTCCGGCCACATAACTCTTGCCCTTTGGTTGCATCACTTACAAGTACATTCCCTGGTCACCATCTTTACTGTTTTCATGTGTAGCTTTTATGCGGTAAATCCAAGTGCACAAATCCTGAAAGAGTGTGGGGATACAACCAGCGAATATGGCTAACCCTGGGGTTTAGGTTTGCTGAAAACACTTCGTCCGAGCACTAATCGAAAAGCAATGCGAAGGCGCTAATTTTCATTATTCTCGAAGCAATTCAGTATATGTGTCCATTCACTTTACAGAGGCGCGATGCCGATTGTCAGTCGGACAACCGTGACAACCACTCGCACTTCGTCTGGTTTTCGTAGTTCAACAGTTCCGGTTTGGGTCATCAAACTACTCACTGTGGCAAGTTTTGTATATTGCATTTCGAAGCAACTACCCTTATTATAACAGATATGTATTTTCATACTTATAATACTCCTGAATATATAAATGCTGGAACGGTAGAACACCCTCTCTTCTGCATCAACGAGTGGTAGCAGGAGGTAAAAAACATTCGACCAGTACGAACAAAATAAAAAGTGAATTGAGGAGGTG